GACAGTTTCCCATTACTTTGAACAGTAAGTCGAATTAAACACAATATCAGCACAGAGCACAAAAGTGAATTCCAAGATGTTGCTTAGATTCATCCCGGAGACTTACAGATATCCATAACCACCTTGCCCACCATCAAGTGCCAAGCTTCATGGAAATAGGTTTTCTGTATGGTTTTTGCTTCCTACTTCTCCCTGCACCTGTGGCAGTGAAACAGCTCAGTGTTTGTCTAAGCCTCTGAAAGGAACCAAGATCAATGGTCTATGTAATAGAGGGTAGAAGCTGCCTTGGAGGTGGAGGGAGAAGGGTTCAGTGAAGTGGTGCCAGCATGGGGGTGGGGGCATATTTTGGAAGGTCTTCTGAAACTCTTTTTAAGCTTGTTTCTCCAGATCAAGAAAACCTAGAGCTGTAAGTGCTTTAGGATGTATAAAAAGGTGGGGTGTGTGTGTGTTTTTTCATCCTTGATATTTTTGTGTGCATAAGACTTGTTTATGACTGTTCCTCGCTGTATAGGCTCTGGTATGGGAAAGGAAGACAGTTCCTCTTGTTTCCACAGACTCTGCCAGGTGCCTGTGACCTTACATGTCTTTTAACAGTGAGCTGTGGTAAAACAATAACAGCAACAACAGCACATCGTATATTTGGGAGCTTCTAACAAATGGTGTAAAGGTTAGGAGCAAGCATCCTTCTCTTCTACTCCACAGGGAGAGAGCTCTGTTCCAGGATGCCCATTCAGCTCAGCAGGGACTGCAATGTTTAGAATGCAAGGCACATCCCTTGTGTGTGTATGCCCTGCAAAATGAAATATTTAATGTACTAACTCAGGGTAGGGAATATGGTACACACACACTAACATTGTTAACTGCATTTCCCTTCACCCCTGCCCATTGGTCATGCTGGCTGGGGCCATAGCTCTCCACTTTTCCCTTTTCTTGCGAGGAATCCTATTCGGAATAAGGGAATTTCCCTTAAAAAAGGGAAATCTTTACAGCTATGGCTGGGGCTGATAGTAGTTATAGCCCAAAACATAGGGAGGGTGCTGTGTTGGTAACACCTGGCCTAATTGACAAAGGGACTCTATTTGTTTTTTATACTAAATAAATGAATGAAGATCTCGTTCATGTTATGATTCAGTCCCACTGTCCAGAGCCTCCTAGACCTACTCCTCTGCTTTCGGCATTGCAAGCTGCATGTTCATTGGTTGTCTGCCTGGTAATTAGCAGCAGGAGGAGGAGGAGCTGGTGATAATGGGACAAGGTGTTGATTCATTCAATATATATCCTGTCCTTCCTTCCAGAGGAGCCCCGGGGGCCCCCAAAACCTAGAGACAGCATTGTGCACAGAAAAAAATTCCTGAATGGATTTTGTCCTTTGTTGATAAAAGTATGCATGTCTCAGAGATGAACAAATCTGTCTATTTCAGTTTCTCATTTTTCTAGTCTTAAGTTGAGCTCTCCATCTTTCCCCTTAGGTGCACATTTCTCTTAGGTGCACATTTCTCCTAACATAAGCATTTTTGTATGCAATTTTCCCCCAAACACACATTTTTGCAAACACTTCTTTTCACAGATATATGCACCTTAGTATATTGCACCATGCAATTTTGTGCACAGTGGGTGGAAAACTGTATCGCAAAATTCTGAGATGTGAATTTCTAAGGCTACTCATGTTTCGGTTTGTGTTTTGTTTTGGGGGGGGTGGAAATTAGGTAACCTCCCCAATCCAAGTGTGTGTTTGTATGCATGTGTCAGGACGGGGGGGGGGCATTTGAATTTTTACTTTAAACAAATAAAAAAAACCAATGTGGGATTTGGGGCCCCATAAAACATCTAAACGCCTCTCCTTAAAGAGAGAGAGAGAGAGAATCACATTCATAAAGGAAGAAAGAGGCGATTTGAGCCTTGACTGCTTTGCTTATGTCTTTGAGGACCAAAATTCTGGGTCTCCCTTTCATCCCTCTCAGTTTGTGTGTCGCCTTCTGCCGGGCCTTTCATCTGCCTATTCCCCAGCTAGCCTGAACCGGTCGCTTTTACAGCAATCGATTATGACTTAGAGGTTTCCACATCCCGCCCAGTTCAGACAGCCGGGAAATGTGCAAGTACCTGAATAAACTCTTTTTAATCCGCAAGCAAAACTCTACCTGAAAGAGACGGCATGAAAGGCTTCCTTTCATGGGCTGTTTTCGATCGGACAAGCTTCCCCGTTTCTTCAGGGCTGGACCTGCTTCCTGTGCGAATGGCCTCTGAATGCATTCCCAATTGTGGCTTTGGGGGACTATAAAGGTACCCAATATTAGTGCTGCAGAGGACGTGGGGGCTGGGGAGGGCGGCAAGAAAAGTCACAAAGCTGTTCTGGACCTGGAAGGTTGTGGTGCTGCCTGCTGAGCCTACTAACCCACAAAAGCATAGTAAACAGAAGCATAAATGTGCTTGTTTGTGGAATCAAGCAATCGTGTCGACAGGGATGCTTTACTTATAAGGCAGTGATACACAGTGGTTATGACCAGACTCAGGACTGATACAATTATATTGTGATGGAGATGGTACTGCATTAGGATTAGACACTGAACATAAGAAGGGCTTGTCTGGATCAGGCCAAAAGGCCCATTTAGTTCCAAAGCTCACTGCAGTTTGTCAGCCCAGCCTGCCCACCTAAGAGGGCTATTGTAGGGCCAAATTGCTGGGAAGGCAGCAGATGTTAAGAATGGGTGGATCTCTCAATAGCAGTATCTCATTTTCCCAGTGGCGTAGCGTGGGGGGTGCAGGGGGGCCGGCCGCACCGGGCGCAACATCTGGGGTTAAGGCAAATCCACGGATTAGGGGGCGCAAATCCACGGGTTAGGGGGCGCAAATCCACAGGTTAGGGGGCGCAAATTACTTGCCTTGCCCCGGGTGCTGACAACCCACGCTACGCCACTGCATTTTCCCAAATCTTAAATTCACTTCTCCACATGCAGGCCAGCTGCTTCTCCCTCTGCCGTCCCCTTGGAATAGCCTCAGAGGGAAGCGGGGCTCCTTACGCCATCTTTGCCAGAAGCTCAGCTCCATCAGGCCCCTCCTGTTTCTGAACTATGCAAGTTGATTATTATGATTACAATTATTTAATAATTGGTGCCTGAGTTTGTTTTTTCCCCTTCTTCTCTCTCTATCCCTTTTCCCTTGTTTGTATTTTTTTGTAAGGGGTTTTCTTGCCTGGAAGCTCTTTTGGCTGAAGAGTGGGAGACAAATGCTCAAAATAAATAAGTAATAATGAATAATTTCTACATCAGCTTGTCAGTTTTTTATTTTAAATGTCCTCATGAAAATTCAGCAGCATTTTAGTGCAATTTTGTTACTAATGTATGCAATTTTACCTATCAAAACACATTTTTTGGAATGCAATTTCCCTAACAAAATGCATGTTTGTATACTGTTTTCAGTGTTTAAAAAACCTTTTAATCGTAATATATGCTTTTTTGTATGAATTATTTGACTGGAGAACTGCAAAATTCAGGTAAGTGTGACTTTCAAACAAAGGCTGTTTTTCCATATTAGATGCTTTTGCCTTTAAATGCTAACTAAATCAAATTTATCCTCCATCCCTACTATATATCACCCAAAATTCCTTAAAAGAAAAGGCAGGACAAAGATTTTTTAAAAAATATGTGTACAGAGATGCATATACTAGGGTAAGGTGTACATAAAAATGTACAGGCACCTTCCCACTTGCGCACGATCAGCATGTGTGCTCCCACTGACATGCACGCCATTTTTGGTGCAGAAAAGGAACAAGGCAGGGGAATCCTCACTCACGCTTGTCCCAGAAACGTGCACAGCAATCATGGTTAAGAGCGATAGTCTTGTAATCTGGTGAACCGGGTTTGCTTCCCCACTCCTCCACATGCAGCTGCTGGGTGACCTTGGGAGAGACTTATTTGAAGTCTCTTAGCCTCACTCACCTCACAGAATGTTTGTTGTGGGGGAGGAAGGGAAAGGAGAATGTTAGCTGCTTTGAGACTCCTTCGTGATAAAGCAGGATATCAAATCCAAACTCTCTTAATTAGTGCAGATGTGTGTGTTTTTCTGAAGAAATAGACCTCAATTCAGCAAAATGTAGTTAGGACTAAGTCTCACTAAAACCAAAGCAACAAGTTTGTCTCACGTTTTACTTAAATCCCATCACTTTCAATGGAGCTTAGTTGTTACTAATATTATCATAATTTTCAGAATGGTCACTGTTAAGTGTAGATAAACGCCATGAAGTTTAGCCTTGCAACAGCGTTTCATATTGCAATAATATGTGATAAAATGCAATGACAGAAAACACTGCACAACAACCACCCAAAGGGAACACACAGGAAGCTCCTTGTACTGAATCAGACAATTGGTCCACCTTGCTTAGTATTGTCTGGGGATTCAGGCAGGAAGTCTCTCCCAGCCCTGCTTGGAGATGCTGGGAATTGCCCCTGGGACCTCAGTGAAAATTCAGTGAATAGAGCATGGGCATAATGTTGTTGTTGTTTAGTCGTTTAGTCGTGTCCGACTCTTTGTGACCCCATGGACCAGAGCACGCCAGGCACTCCTGTCTTCCACTGCCTCCCAGAGTTTGGTCAGACTCATGTTTGTAGCTTCGAGAACACTGGCCAACCATCTCGTCCTCTGTCGTCCCCTTCTCCTTGTGCCCTCCATCTTTCCCAGCATCAGGGTCTTTTCCAGGGAGTCTTCTCTTCTCATGAGGTGGCCAAAGTATTGGAGCCTCAGCTTCGCGATCTGTCCTTCCAGTGAGCACTCAGGGCTGATTTCCTTAAGAATGGATACGTTTGATCTTCTTGCAGTCCATGGGACTCTCAAGAGTCTCCTCCAGCACCATAATTCAAAAGCATCAATTCTTCGGCGATCAGCCTTCTTTATGGTCCAGCTCTCACTTCCATATATCACTACTGGGAAAACCATAGCTTTAACTATACGGACCAGTGTTTTGTGTTGTGTAGGCTCCTATGATGTAAGTAAGTAAAGCCTGCTAGCCTGCTCCCTAAAATATCACTGGTTTGCTCATTTCTATATATAGGGTGCTTACATTCTGCATGGACTGGTTATTTTGTTATCTGCAAATAGTAGACAATGAGGAAGGGGGACAGTCTTATAATTTCAGTGGTGCCCTGTGCAACATCTAATTTCAGCCCCCTACTGCCACTGCCTCTCACATTCCATTGTTTGTCATTGTTGCAGCACCCCCTACGGCACCCTCTCAACTTGGCACCCAGTGTGGAAAAACCAGTCGTGCTCCATTAAATCCACCTCTGAGAGTGACTTGGGAGGAAAGGGAGAGAAAGGGAACAAGGAATGAATGCAGGAACGTGGAATGATGTATATTAAACAAATTATAAACTGCTATTCATAAAAATAAAATAAAAAAATCAGAGTAGTTTACAACAATAGTACATGAAACCAAACAATAAAAACCATATAAAATGTTAAAATCAGCTAAGTATTGTGGAAAGATGTGTCCTTAAGTGTCTGCATGGGTCTGATGGAATATAAAGGTTTTCAACAGGCATTTAAAGGTTGAAATGTAAGGAGCCTGCTGAATCTCAACTTGCAGAGTGTTCTACAATTCTGGTCCAATGACATTAAAGGCTCAGTTTTGTGCTGTTGTCAAATGAGCCTCACCAACTCAGGGAATGAGCAGTGAGACCCTGCAGATGATCTCAGTGATTGAACTGGGATACAACAATTCAGACAGTCCCTGAAGTACCCTAAACCTCATTCGTTCAGGGCTTTGTAAATTAATAGTTAATAACGAAACATGCCTGTTCTGATCTGTTTCCTCCAAATTATGCCCCACTGCCTTCAGGAGAGCTTCTTTCCAAGCAATGAAACCAAAGACAGGCTGCTCCTCATGTTCTCATAATAAGAGCCTTGCTCAGCCAGAGCAAAAGCCCATCTAGTCCAACATCCTGTTTCTCACACTGGCCAAACAGATGCCTCTTGGGAAGCCCACAATGAGGACAGGAGCGCAGTAGCCCTCTCCCACTACTGAACTGTCTCTCCCCACTGCAATCCTGGCAGCACAGCAGCCTCAGCAGTTTCAGTCCTTCCTGTGCCACTGGAGTAAGCCAAGAAGCCAAAACAAACAAACCCTCAACAGGCAAACCTCAAAGGATGCTGAAGAAAGCAGTATTGCTTATTTGCAAATACACATCAATATTTTTGCTCTTGTTTTTGTTTTTTAGAAGAGATTGCCTTACCCCATACGTGTCCAATTGGCCGATTCAATCTGCAGAACTGGCACTGTTACAAGTGCCACATAATACCCATTTTGCATTTGTAAGAAATTGATCTTGTGGGAGTTCCCACACTTTGGAACTCCCTGCTTATTGACCTCAGGCAGGCACCTTCACTGTACTCATTTTGGTGCCTGCTACAAACTTTTTTGTTCAGGCAAGCCCATAAATCCAATATGTATAATGTTGACATGTGTTTTAGCTTATCATTGTTGTCAATTATTTTTAAAGTGCTTTGAATGGTTGTTTTTAATTGGGTTTTCAATGATAATTTCATTGTTTTATTCTTTTTGTAAACTGCTTTGAGGGTTTCTCTTTTTTTCACAATCAAGCATCATATACATTTTGTGTAATAATAATAATATATTAATGTTACTAGACCTTTGGGATGAGGTGGGAGGTGTCTTGGAGCACATAAAAGAAATCCATCTCATGGGCAGGAGAACAAGCAGCAGGGATGGTCATTTCCTAGGCAGCAGTGGCGAACCTGTGGCCCTCCAGATATTTTTGGACTCCAACTCCCATCAACCCCAGCGAACATGAGATGCCAAGAGATGCTCGGGGATTATGGGAGTTGTGGTCCAGCAACGTCTGGATGGCCACAGGGTTCTCCATCTCTGCTCTAGGGATTGTGGTGGAAGGAAATGAAAACACTTTGGAATGGCTTTATGGAACCAAGGGGACTTTGGCCCAAAAAAGTTTGGGAACCACTGTGTTAGATTATTGGCCTAGAAGACCAAGGAGACCAGGATCCATACCCCCAGTCAGTTATGAAGCACACTGGGTGATCTTGTCTAGTCAGTCTCTCCCAGCCTAAGCTACCTTGTAGGGTTGTTGTGTGAGAATAAAACAGAGAGGGAGGAGAACCATGTACATCCCTATTTAGCTCCTTCGAGAAAAGGCAGAATATAAAAATAAATAAAGCCAGCATAGTTTGCATGGCTCCTTTATGTGTATTTCCATTATTCAACGGTCGGAGTTGATGTATCTCTCCGCAAACACACGGTGCCTTGATTTCAGTATCCTGTGAGACCTGCTGCAGCGAAACAGAGGGAAACCGTGTCAGAGCTTGGTTTCCTGCAGCACGGCCTCCAAAATGGAAACTGCTGGTGCTGACAGACGGCCTTGCTTGAGTGATAAGCTGAGCATTGGGCTCTGGGCCAAGACCGGACTGTAACTCCTTAGTTACAAAAAAAGAAAAAAAGAAAGCAACCCCTATGTGGGTATAATGGGGAGTCAGGGCATGTCTTCACAAAAGGCATCGAGCAATTTCAACTGACGTGGTTTCTCCAGACCTTGGAAACCATGGCTCTGTGAAAGGACAACAGGTGTCTTGTGGACTAGCAATTTGGAAACATACAGCCAAATTAGCCAGCTAAATCAGCTTCAAACTTTTCACATTCAGCTTTAACTCTAACATGGGACCAGCTTTTAAGGTTCAGGGCTCTTCACACATTACATTCAATTAGTGTGGTCTCTTTATACCTCTGTGCATAGTTGTCCTGTACACTCATACAGTAATTTGCACGCAGCATTTGAGGGTACAGTCCATGCACCTGTGTGCAGACAAGAGCTGAGCTGCACAAATCAATTATGAAAATGCCCAACTAGCTGCCCATAACAATAAAATGTTTAAAATGAAATAAAATAGGGATGCTGCAGTGACCAACATCTGCCCCAGTGGGTCCTGGCATGCTCACAACATCCCAGATTATGATAGTCATCTGCCATTTTCTGGGCAGTCAGAGCCAGAGCATTGTCCTTGAGGTTCAACCCCATCTGCACTGCTGCCTCTACCTCTTTCCATGACTCTTCCAGATAACCTATTTGTGTCCTGACTTGTTTGTGGGAAGGTTAGATGATGTATCAAAGCAGGTGTTATCCCACACTTTCCAACGCATCTTCCCATCCCTTTCCTCATCACTAAAAGGCAGACCTTTCAGGGAAGACGGTGTGTTGCGCAAGAGTGCCAAATGAGCTTTAATTGTGCAACCTGAATGTGTGTGAATTAATCCCACCCCAAAATATAATAATAACAGTCTGGAAGGACTCTTTGTCTGGTTTTTTATGGAACATACATTCTCATATATTTTCAAGGCAATTATACAACAATGAACATTAATGCTAAGTTGCTTGCTGGGCCTTCATATTTCTTATAAGTCATTCATTCATTCCCCCACTTTTTTGTGTATTTCCCCATCACTTTTCTAATGGCAAAAAATGGAGTCATTGTCCTAGGGCAAGAGAGTGGTTTAATTTGCTTTAATTGAACAAAGCTATATTGCAGGTGAGGGACGCGGGTGGCGCTGTGGGTAAAAGCCTCAGCGCCTAGGGCTTGCCGGTTGAAAGGTCGGCAGTTCGAATCCCCGCGGCGGGGTGCGCTCCCGCTGCTCGGTCCCAGCGCCTGCCAACCTAGCAGTTCGAAAGCACCCCCGGGTGCAAGCAGATAAATAGGGACCGCTTACTAGCGGGAAGGTAAACGGCGTTCCGTGTGCTGCGCTGGCTCACCAGATGCAGCTTGTCACGCTGGCCACATGACCTGGAAGTGTCTGAGGACAGCGCTGGCCCCCGGCCTCTTGAATGAGATGGGCGCACAACCCCAGAGTCTGTCAAGACTGGCCCATACGGGCAGGGGTACCTTTACATTTACCTTTATATTGCAGGTGTGCACTTGAAATCCCCGCCCCCCGTAAAATACTGGCAGACTGGAGACACCTAAGATCTGCTGCCTGAGGCATATGCCTCACTTTACCTAATGGTAAGACCAAACCTCCAACACTGAAGGCCTTAGTGACTTTCCAGAAGAACTCACTTGGAAGCAGTGGAGGCTGATCCATCAGGTCAAATGCCCCAACCACAGTCTGCCCTCAGCCAGCTGCCACCTCCCTGCCTTACAACCTGACCAGGGAGCGGCCCTGGCTGTCACCTTCCTCCTCTTTAGTCTCAAGTGTTGCCGTCGTTGAACACTGCAAGGAGGAGGATGGGGACAAAACTAGCCTTAGCTGGCTCTCCCTGTCATTGGCTCTGGCGCCACCTGCTGTTGGGCTCCCTGCCTCCTGCCTTACCAGTCAGTCCCAATGGGCACTGGTGCTTGGAAGCTGACACAATCATTCCAGGCAATAAGCATTGCCCTACTGCTACATGCTGGACGTGGCTATTTGCTTGCAAGGAAAGGAGTTAAGAGGAAATGTTTCAAGCTGCCTCAGTGTCACTCAGTGGCATGGTGTTTTCCCAAGGATATCCAAGAGATGAAGGGAAAAACAAATAGGTAATTCTGTCCAAAAATGAATCACTCAATGACCACAGATGACACACAGCAATGTGGCAGTAAAGCATGTGATTTACTAATTTACACACACACACACACACACACACACACACAATGTGGGTTCAGCTAGCAGCAAAATAAGGAATTGGAAGGAGTGGAAGGGAAGGTTTATTTAGAAAGTTTGGCCTATAAAAAGTCTGCACAACAGTAAATTGTTCAAACCGTTGACTGGGGAAGCAAGCAGAATAAGGCAGCCACTAAAATTAAATAGGCTATAAGACTTAAATCTGTTTGATTAACCCGTTAAAATGCTTTGATGGATGAAAAAGGTATCTGCAATCAAACTGGGTAGCAGCAGCTTTGTTTTGTTTTTCAGTGTAAATTATTTTACTGTTAGCACTTTCAAATATACAGGTATCAGTCACTTAGAAGAAGGATTTGCATTAGGGCTGTGCATGCCCCCCCAATCCAATTAGTGACCCAATATGATATCAGACCCTCCAAGTGTCCCTATTTTCCAGGGATGTCCCTGATTTAGAGAAGCCATCCCGGTTTCTGATTTGATCCCAGAATGTCCCACTTTTCATTAGGATGTCCCTATTTTCATTGAAGAAATATTGGAGAGTATGGAGTTATCCAACCCCCGAGCCATCTGAAGGCAATCTGGTATAGGATTTTTTTTTTTAATGTTTAATGTTAACTATGTTTTTTATGTATGTTGGAAGCTGCCCAGGGTAGCTGGGGCAACCCAGTAAGAT